GAATATGCTATCTTAAAGCTATGTAAACCATTAGCAAGTTATAATTCCAGTGAAATTCATCAGTATCTAGCTATGTCCAAGTTTAGGATAAGTTTTTAGGTTCAGCTCAACTCTTAATTTTCATGTTCAATGTGCTAAATGCAGAGCAGTATGACAACAAATGCAGAATCAAAGTTCCATGGTAAACAAAAATTAAAACTCAGAACTAATCACTGCAATGCATCAAAACAATAATCTAGAATGTCTTGATCAAACAATTTTCAGTACCAAAAATCACATTAGTACTCAAAAGATTCAATTTGAATTCTTTTTCTGGATATTAAACTGAATAAAATTAATTCAGCACTTCGCAGAACATGTTTCTCATCATACTCAATGCTACATTGCACAAATTTTTCAATAAAATTCCCAAAATATTCATGGCTATATTTCTACACATACACAGCAAATGAACAAAACAAAAATTCATAATGCAGATTCAAATTTTCATGAAAAATTACAGTTCTGGCATGAATTTGACTCAATCGCACTTTAATTTCATGTTTCAATCATCAATTAAACATAATTCACGCCCAAATCACAATCCCCAAATTATCCCCAAATCAAATTTAGAAGAACCTTAGAATTTAAATTTTACAAATTTAGGAAAATTACCTGGAATTTGAGTGTAGAACTGATACAGACTTACTCGACAGTGATAATGTAGTGGAATGAAGTCTCAGATTCAGTTCAAAACAAACAGAAAATTGATGATTTTTTATGAAGGTATATGGGCAGCTAGCGTTTTTCACAGTGCGCTTTGGCTCTGGAGGTTTTAAGTGAGAACTCTGAATGCGTGAAGGCTTTAAATAGGGAAAGTAATCACGCAGAAGATGTAGTTCAAAAATACCCTAGGCATGGCTACTTCACTCGTTCTGTGTTTCAACTTAAAACCCTCGTGCAGCTCACGTGCTTACTTAAAATGAAGGAAATTAAGGTTTAAAGATCTGACCTGTGCGCGTGTTGGCTTCAAACAGTTAAGGTAAAGGCACGCAACTGCGCGTGGTAACTTCTCCCAGTTGGCGTTAAGGCGCGTAGCTGCTCTGTGTAAGGTGCTCTGAACGTGTCTTGGCTTTATTCACTTAGAGTGAAGGCGCAATTTTGCGCGCCAAGGTGTCATGCAAGAAGAGTGAAGACGCGCAACTTATTACTTCAGATTCTTCTTTATTGGTCTGCGCGTTTTGGCTTCAAGTGTTTAAAGTTTCAACACGCAGATCATAAGGTCCCTACATTGCTACTCTACTCACTTGAAGTCTCAACTCTCATGATTATTCCTTCCATATTAGCTTAAGAACTGCAATTTTTTTCTGCAATCTGAATTCCTTGATCATGACCCATCTTGAAACGTAAGTTCACCATCTAATTTTTCTCTAAATCACAGCAAACAACCAATCATTTTTCACTACACTTCTTTATCAAAAATCAAATTTCAGAATATTAATTTCTACCTAATTCAACAAAATATATTACTATGACTCAAAATTAACTAGAAATTCAACATCTAAACTACAATCAATAAGAGTTCAAGTTTTAGAAACGTGAGTTGCCTCTCACAAGTGCTCTTTTAATGTCACTAGCTTGACACCTATTGATCTTTGAATCTAAGAGATGATTTTGATGATAATAGCTCTTGCTCTATCTTTAAATGTTTCCCCTTTTTCTCACCAACTTACAAGTCTTCATTTAATTTAGAACCTGGATGAAATAAAAGTGGAGGGACTTCAAGCAGCTTGATATACTCAGGGAGCTTCCTTTCATGCTCTTTATTATCTTCATATCTAATTCCAGTAAGGATCTCTCTTAGAATAGAATCATCATTCTGTTTTTCTTGCTTAAAATTCTGCAGTCCTTGAGGAAATGAAAGCTTTTTGCATTTAGCTTCATCTATTGACTTGCAGGCATCTTCAAACAACCTTTTTTTGGTTCTTTTTTTAGATTGTGTCTTGCTGTAGTCCTTTGGTTCTTCTTTCTTTAAAATTGTTAACTGCTCTTTCTTGCAATCCTCTTGTTGCTTATCTTGAATCTTGTTTTCTTCATATTTATCTAATGCTTTTTCTTTCTCAACAGCTTTAGGACTTGAAATTTCAACCTTATTCCTTGTGAAAGCAGCTTGGCATTGCTCTATTGGATTTACAATGGTGTTGCTAGACAATTTCTCATCATTCCTATTTAACAATTGTTCTGCAATTTGTCCTATTTGCATCTCCATCTTCTCTATCGATACCTCTTGATTCTTTAAACTTGATTTTGTAAATTCCATGAATTAGAGCAAAGTTTCCTCAAGTTCATTATTTCTGTTTGGAAGTGTCTTTGAAGGCTGTTGTCCTCCTTGAGATTGAGAATATGATACCTGAAAACAAGGCTGTGAAAATTGAGGACTGGAGAATGGTGTTGTTGCAGCAATCATTTGTTGATTCCAATCATAATATGGCTGACTCATGTTAGCTTGATATTGAGATACATGAGGAAAGGTAGATTCAGGTGTTTGAAAATTTCCTCCATAATTGAATTCTTCTTGAAATTCTGGTGCAGCCACATAATAAGTTTCATGCACATGGTTTCCACTGTAAAAATCACACACCAAGGGGTTAATTTGGGCAACTCTAGCTTGAAAATTATTAATTAAAGCTTCAAAAGCATTTGCTTCATAAGCTCCTGTTCTTGCAACTTGGCTTTGATGAAAATTCTGATACATGCTGGTTACCATCAAACAATAGAGCAACTTTTTTTTCTAGTTTTTCCTTGCATACAAAAGAAAGTAAACAAAATTCAAATGAAATCAGTAACTAAGTAAAATGAAATCTAAGACTATGTAAAAAGTTATAAAACAAAACATGCAGAAAACATAGAAATTTATGCAGAATGAGATTTACAACTATGCAGAAAAATACAAAATGAAATTATGCAGAAAACTAAACAAAATGTCAAAAAAAAAATTATGCAGAAAAATTAGAAAGCAAAATAACAAAAAGAAATGCTCAATCTAGCCATCTCTCTGCTAGTAATGATATTGAAAGTAAATAATCCCCGGCAACGGCGCCAAAAACTTGATACACTATTAGAGAACTAACTAGCAAGTGTACTAGGTAGTTGTAGCAAGTAATAAAATTTGGAAATCAATGTGAGTCCCAAGTATCGTCCTCAGGGATTAGGTCTATCAATTACCACTTCACAAATCAATAACTAGTTTAGTCAAACAAATATTGGAGATGTTTCAAATCATTTGAGAACAAAAACAATAAAGTGCAAAAATCTGAAAAATACAACAAAACAGAATACAAAATTTGTATTAAAATGCTATATTGAAAATAGTTAGCAATCACTTTACCAAATTTTCTATTGCAATGTAATAATGTTCTGGACTCTTAAGAATTTTAATTGATTGATAATCAATTTCACTTCTTTAACCAAAGGACAATTCCTTGCCTCATTGATCCTAATATCTAATTAAACCTCCCTAATTCCTTAGGTGAAATTCAACCAAATATTGCATTAAGTTTTGGAAATTATAGGATTACTAGATTATGATACTTATTCCTAAGATCTCAATAACCTAGGCATGTAATTCAGATCTGAGAAATAAACTCAATTTTTATTGATGAAGATTCCTCTAAATTCAATTTAATGAAGAATTAGTTCACAACTGTATTAAGAACAGAATCACATACTGAATTCAATTAAAACCTTAAGGTCCACATCCAAAATTACATCACAATATCAAATATGGATCCATGGATCGCTAACAAAAAGAAATCAGAACATGCTTCTAAAAGAAAAAGAGAGAGAAAGAGTAGAAGAAGAGGAGCTGCAGAATTTCTTCATAAATCCAATCCCCAGCCTGATTCCTCAAGGTCCAGAGCTTGGAAGTCGCCCCTTATCTCCCTCTATAACTTTCCTAAGGTGTGGAAATGAAAAGAAAACAAAAATTGGCAAAAAACTCTCTTTTCTAAGTTCCTAATTCCTATTTATAGAGTTCCTCTCATTCTTTAACTTAACCCTTGAAATTCTGATAGTTAGTTGTCCCCAGGTATTCTGGAATCTTCTAAAAGTGATACAAAAGCTCCAAACGTCCAGAATTGGAAGGAAGAAGAAGTTATGAAAATTGCAGAATTCTGTGCCAAGACGCGCAGTCACTGGAGTGAAGGCGCGCGGTTGCGCGCCTTGGCTGCAAGTGCTATGAGTTGCAACGCGCTCTTGCGCGCCAAGGCTTCAAGTGATGTGTGTTTCAACGCACAGCACGTCAATGAACACTTCTTCCATGTGCTCAACTTTGCGTTGCTACGCCATCTGCTATGCATTTCCACGCTCTATTGCGCGCCAAAGCGCCAAGTGATGTGCGTTTCAACGCAATCGCATGGTAAAAACTATATTATTTTCCTAATTATTAACCATAAACTATGCTAAAAACATGGTAAAATATAGATTTGTCACTTGTACTATTTAATCATGAGATTTTATTTAATTGATGGAATAGTTTGGAAAGAGACAATGATACGAATGAATAAAGGAAAAATTATGTATTGTGCCTTTAACAAAAAAAAAAAGAGTAAAAGAAGGGTAGATTTTAATAATAATGATTGTTGATTCCAATTTGATTGAATGAAATACAAGCAAGTGAACACAATTTCTGTATGACAATATTCAATCATATTAAATGAATGTATTCTTTACTTATTGAATGAAGTTATGCGATTATATGTATTGGCGTTTTGTTTCTGGAAACCATAATTTTGTCTCTGTAATATAGAACGTAGCTACAAATTAGGTGTCACACATTTAGTGGTATCAGAGCAGTTCAATCCTATTGGCCCTGGGTATGGTCCTAACTACCCACACTTGTGTGATTAGAGTGATGAGTTGTTTTACTAGGTACATGTTCTATTGCTTTGTTTGGTTTGTGAATCTGAGCCTTAGGATATTCCTGCTGTCTAACCTGCCTCTGACTTGCTTTTCAAAGTTTTATGGCTTGGAGACAGAGGAATGCAACTATTGATACCTTACTCGAAAGAGTAGTGGGTATCCTGGAGAGGCAACACGAGCCAGCTCCAAAACGAGGATTGTCCAAGTTTCATAAGAATAAACCCTCTCATTTTCGCAATGGGTTTGATCCAGATGGAGCCCAACATTGGCTGGAGGAGTTGGAGAAGATATTTGAGGCCATGACGTGCTCAGACAATGAGATGGTTGTTTTTGCCACTTTTATGCTCGCGGGTGAAGCGAAGCATTGGTGGAGAATTGCTCGCCAGCAGCTGATAACGGATGGGACTGCCATCGATTGGCCGACCTTTCGGCGTAGATTCCTAGAGAAGTACTTTCCTGAGGATCTTCAAAGGAGGAAAGAGTTGGAGTTTCTAAATTTAGAGCAAGGGGGTATGAGCATAGGAGAATACGTCGTCAAGTTTGATGAATTATCAAGGTATTGTTCTTACTTCTCCCATGTTGATGACCGAGCTAGATGCTCCAAATTTGAGAGTGTACTTCGACCTGACATCAAGCAAGCAGCGTGGAAGGGCGTGACACCTCGTAGGCGTGTAGAGAATGGTGACTTTAAAAGAAGGGAGATTCGGGATAGGAAGAAGCCATACAACTGCCCAGATCACCAGCAAAAAAGGAGTTCTTTTAATACTAGACAACCAGATCATAGTGGACAGAGGCGACCTGAGTTGTGTTGCTATAGCTGTGGAGGACCTCATCTTCAACGGGATTGCCGTCGCAACCCTGTGACTTGCTTTAGATGTGGCCAGCAGGGTCATTACAGTTCTTCCTGCCACATGACAAAGAATGACGCGGGAGGAAGTGATAAGGGAAGAAACTGGAATGCGGATCGTAACAACAATGGGGTCAGAATCCAATGGGGAATCGTCATCAACCAAACCTTGGCAACTCGAAGAATCTACCTGGGAGACCCAATCCAAGGGGACGCGTATACACAATGAGTGGTGCTGAAGCCATTCATTCTGACGGTTTAGTACAAGGTGAGTGTACTATCAACGGTGTTTCTTTGAGGGTATTGTATGATTCGGGGGCAACACATTCTTTTATCTCCAAAAATTGTGTAAGACAGTTGAAACTGCCTATTTCGTCTATGATCGGTGATCTTATCGTTTCTACCCCTGCTGGTTCCTCTATTACCACCTCACTTGTTTGTCGTGATTGTCATCTTTTGTTAGAAGGTCAGGAATTCTTTGTTAACTTGATTTGTCTACCTCTCTCTGACTTGGATGTCATTCTAGGTATGGATTGGCTTTCTGCCAACCATGTCATGATAGATTGTCCAAATAAGAAGCTAGTTTTTGACTCATATAATGTTGAAATGACAAAGGATGAAACTCGAGGAAGTCAAGGCGCTTAGTATGCCCGTACTCCAAGGGATGTGGAAGTTCAAATCTTTGCAATTCTTTCTACTGACGACCTTGAGGATGATCCTGATATTAGCGAGATACCTATTGTTCGTGATTACCCTGAAATCTTTCCTGAATATGTGCCTGGACTGCCTAAACAACAACAAAATAAATGCTCAATTTAGCTACTTTTCTGCTACTAATGATATTAAAATTCAAAATTTCCCGGCAACGGCGCCAAAAACTTATTGTTCGCAATCTAACACTAGCAAGTGCACTAGGATTGCAGCAAGTAATGAGTAAATTTAAGACCCAAATATCATCTCCACAGGGAATTTAGATTTCAAGTACCACTTCACAGAATTATAACCATTTGAACCATACGAATTTTGGAAAGAGAATTGTAACATATACTAGCAGTAAACCAGCACAATACAGAGAATTAACTTGCAGAAAAATAGAGTATAACAATGTGATGAATTGAGATGGGAATGAAGAATAGTTAGAAATTTACTTCACAAGAATATCAGTATTAATTCAATTATGCCTCTGAACATTTAAGAACTTGGTTAATTGACAATCAGTTTCGCATAGCAATAGCCAAAGGTTAATTCCTTAACTCATTGACCCTAACAAGCAACTAAACCACCCTAATCCCGTAGGTGAAGTTCAATTTTAAGTTGCATTAAGACTTAGAACTTTAAGATTGCAGAATAAGGTCTCCTTATCCCTAAGAAATCCGCAAATTCTGATTGCTAACTCAGATCGGAGAAGCAAATCCAACTTCCATTGGTAATTGTTCCTCTAAGATGAATCAAACAAATTTCCATTCATAGATTGCAAGAAAAACATAATTCACAATTCAATTAATCCAAGAACTCAAAATTCAGAAGCAAGAGTCAAATCAATACATCAATTCGAGTTCCATAAACCCCTAACTACAAGAAAACTACTCAGACATAGGAGAAGAGAAAGAGAAAGAAGAAGAAGAAGAAGAAAAACTCCAAGAAGCCATAGCCGGAAGCTCCAATCTGATTCCTCATTTTGGAAGCTTCAAGACTTGACCCCAATCTTCTCTCTCAAGCTCTCCCAACGAGATCTAACAGAAAAACAAAAAAATAAAACTGAACTCCCGAAAATCTGAACGCTTCTGGTTTTTATAAAAATTCTCAGATTTGCGCATTATCACTTTTATGAGAAATAGTAGCTATGCAGAAGGTTTATGGTTGCGTGTTAACACTTTTATGAGAAAAAGTGACTACGCGCAACTCGCCAAGTTGAAGGCTCTCTGGAATGCTCACTTTTGATGATAATAGTGGTTACACGGAGCTTTCCTGATATTTCGCCTCTCTGGAACGCTCACTTTTAATGATAAAAGTGGTAATGCCCAGGCTTCACTTCTTCTTTGAACTCTGGAGTGATCACTTTCACTGACAATAGTGATCACGCCCAGTCTGCATTTTCTTGTTCTTGTGTTTTTGGAGTCCAAACTTGCTTCTTTCCTTTTCCTTGTCATCAAGCCTCCATTTTCATGAACCTTGCTCGAATTATTCCTTCAAAAACAAGATTAAAAACTTAATTCCTAAGCAAGAATTCCATAATTGCTAAGATAACTACAAATTGAAAGAAAACTTCAATTCATTCTCTTTTTCTAAGTTTTTTTGCTTTCTTCATATATTTTTCTTATCAAATGTGTTAGAATTATGCTAAAATATCAGTAAAAATATGGATTCATCAGTGCTGGTCCAATTTCCATGGCACCATATCAGATGTCACCATTGGAACTAGCTGAGCTGAAGCAACAACTGGAAGAACTACTCACAAAGCACTTTGTTAGACCAAGTGTATCGCCATGGGGAGCACTAGTTTTACTCGTCAAGAAGAAGGATAGAAGTATAAGACTCTGTGTGGATTACCGCCAACTTAACAAAGTAACCATCAAGAATAAATATCCTTTGCCTCGGATTGACGATTTAATGGATCAACTAAGAGGAGTGTCTGTATTTTCGAAGATAGACTTGAGATCAGGATACCATCAAATTCGAGTCAAGAAGGACAACATTCCAAAGATGGCTTTTCGAACACGATACGGTCACTACAAGTACTTAGTCATGCCCTTTGACGTGACTAATGCTCCAGCTGTGTTCATGGATTACATGAACCGTGTATTTCACCCTTACTTGGATTCATTCATGGTAGTCTTTATCGATGACATTCTCATCTACTTACGTAGTCCTAAAGAACATGCACAGAACTTGAGAATCGTCTTAGAACTTTTACAAGAGAGACGATTGTACGCCAAACTCTTGAAGTGTGAATTTTGGCTTGAAGCGGTGAATTTCTTAGGGCATGTCATTTTTAAGGAAGGTGTTACAGTTTACCCATCCAAGGTGGAAGCTGTTTTACTTTGGGAACCGCCCAAGACAGTGACCGAAGTCTGAAGTTTTCTGGGACTTGCAGGATATTACCGTCGATTCATAGAAAGATTCTTGAAGATTACCACCCATCTTACCCGTTTAACTCGAAAGGATCAACCTTTTGTGTGGGACCAGAGATATGAGACTAGATTTCAGAAATTGAAGAGAAGGTTAACATCAGCTCCTATATTGGTTCTTCCTGATCCTCAAGAGAAGTTTGAAGTATACTGTGACGCATCTCACCAAGGACTAGGGTGTGTGTTGATGCAAGCGCGAAAGGTAGTGGCCTACGCTTCCAGATAATTGCGTCCTCATGAGAAAAACTACCCAACACACGATCTCGAACTAGCTGCAGTGGTCTTCGCTCTCAAGATCTAGAGACATTATCTTTATGGATCAAAGTTGAAGTATTTAGTGATCAAAAGAGTTTGATTTATCTTTTTGATCAGAAGGAGTTGAATATGCGTCAATGGAGGTGGATGGAATTTCTTAAAGATTACGAGTTTGAACTCCATTATCACCCTGGAAAGGCTAATGTTGTAGCTGATGCATTGAGTCGAAAGACCCTACACGCTTCAGTAATGATGGTTAAGGAATTCGAATTCCTTGAACAATTCCAAAGCCTCAACTTAGATGTTCAAATAAGACCCAACAGTATGGTTTGTGGAGTACTTTGAGTGACCAACCAATTCCAAGATCAAATCATGACTGCTCAAGGGTAAGATGAATTTTTTCAAGGAAGATTGAAGGCCAAGGGGAAAGGACGGGAGCCCAACATTTACGAAGGTAATTGAGGATTGATCAGATATAAGGAAAGAATTTGCGTGCCAGATCAAGATGGGCTTCAGCGGATGATTCTTGAGGAGGCCCATAAGAGCCAATTTAGCATTCATTCTGGAACGACGAAGATGGATCAGAACTTGAAAAAAGATTTTTGGTGGCTAGGAATGAAGAGAGACTTTGCTAGTTTTGTATCTTCATGCTTAACTTGTGAAAAGGCCAAAATAGAGCATCAACGACCAACTGAACAACTACAGCCTCTGGAGATTCCTGAGTGGAAATGGGATGATATCATGATGGATTTTGTATCAAGATTTTCAAGAATGTCAATAGGTTATGATACGATATGGGTGATCGTGGATAGACTCACCAAGTCTGCCCACTTTATCCTCGTAAATGCTAGATATTCTATGGAGAGGTTGACACAACTTTACATTAAGGAGATTGTTCGCCTACATAGAATTCCTAAAAGTATAGTTTCTAACCGGGATCGACGTTTTGCGTTGAGGTTTTGGAAAAGTTTACACCAAACCTTGGGGACGAGGTTACGTCTTAGCTCCGCTTATCACCCCCAAACAGATGGACAGTCCGAGAGAACTATCTAGTCATTGGAAGACCTTCTACGAGTATACAGCCTGGAGATAGAGTTTACCTACAATAATAGCCATCACTCTAGCATCGGTATGGCCCCGTTCGAAGCATTATATGGACGTAGATGTAGAATGCCATTGTGTTGGTACAAAGCAAGAGAGAAACTACTTATTGGCCGAGAGATAATCCAACAGACTTCTGAGAAGATCAAGGATATTAGGGACAAACTGAAGTCAACCCAAAGCAGGAAAAAGAGCTACTACGGTAGAAGAAGGCGTCCACTGCAATTTTGAGGAAGGAGACCATGTATTTTTAAGAGTTACCCCACATATCGGTGTTGGTCAAATTTTCAAACCTCAGAAGCTTGGTCCTAGATTCATTGGTCCTTACCAAATTCTTAAGAGAATAGGAGGATCTTCATTTCAAATTGCCTTACCTTTGAACCTGTCCAAACTACACAATGTGTTCCACCTATCTGAACTTAGAAAGTATGTTCCTGATCCGTCCCATGTCATTGAAGTTGACCACGTGCCCCTTAAAAAAAATTTAACCTTTGAGGTTACACCTCACCGGATTAGTGATCACAAGATCAAGCGACTTCGATATAAGGAAATTTCCTTAGTCAAAGTAATGTGGAACACAACGGATGAGAGTCAAGCCACGTGGGAACGCGAAGAAGAAATTAGAAAATTCTACCCGCATCTTTTTACATCAAGTTAATGTCAAATTTTGGGGATGAAATTTTTCTAAGGGGAGAAGTGTTGTAACATCCCCTGTAACGCCCCAAAATTCGTCAACTAAGCTAGTAAGTCTTAGATATCGATTGTTTGCTAATTTTGGTTTGCTAGTATCAAAATAATTAGCTAGATGTTGAATTTTATATTTTATTCACTGAGGAGAATAGTGACCTGATCTCTAAGTTTTGCATTTTAGAGTAACTGCATGTAATACACTTGGCTTCGATATCATCCAAGAATTGTCCTGATTATTTTCAGTTGTACTGCCCAAAAATAGCCTGAGAATCTTGTTCAGAAAGCCACATTTTGTCTTATTTAAATTATTAAAAAATCATAATTATCCGTCGCGGAAAATGTGAGATTTTGTAATCATTTCATAGATTTTGTAATCATTACAAAATATTCTATAATCATTGCAAAAGATTTTATATTCATTTCAAAAGATTTTATAATCACTGCAAAAAGATTTTGTAATAATTTTAAAAG